CATAGAAAGAGGAAGAGAGAGAGAGAGAGAGATAAGTGAGGTGGAATTTCCACCACCCTTTGAGTGAGAGAGAGGGAGAGAAATGAAAGAAGGGGGCAGAACCCACCCCCCCCCCTCTTGAGAGAATGAGTGCCTGGTACATGTGAGCTCGAGGTCAAGAGAGAGAGTGCCTGGTGCCTTGTGAGCTCGAGGTAGAGTGAGAGAGAGATGAAGGGTGGGTGGTGCCTCCCATTTTAGAGGTAGAGGAAGAGAAATGAAAGGGCGCGGTGCCCCCCTTTTAATCATATTTGTGATACTCTAGTGAGTATTGTTCATACTCGCCCGAGTAGTATAGAATTCAAACAGGTTAGCCTGAGTTTTACAGAACCTACGTAAGTCTACATAGTACTTGCCAAAGTAATTTTCACTTTGCCCATGTACTATCTGGTACACGGGTACTCTCCTCACCACAGGCTAAGATCGAATAACTTGACCAAATCCAAGTCAACTTGGTCAAGTTTCAAAACATTGTTGATAAGTATCAAGGAGTGTAGACAACACCAGAAATTCTCACTAATGGGATTCCAAGAAGCCCAAGTTCCGAGTTTCAGGGACCATACTAAGCATAGTGAACCATATTGAACCTAGACCTCCAAGAATTGTACCTGGACCTAAAACTTAGCAGAAAACCTTGCCTAATACCCTCAACTAGTCACCTTAGACACTCCTAAGCCTAATGAACATAGAAAACTGACCCGAACACAAATTTGACACCCAGAAACTTGAAACCAAGACCTTAAAGTCCTAGCCATGTAGACCCCTTAAAAATAACTCCAAATTGACTAAATTTGGCTCCGAATTATAGAGGAGGTCGCAAGCTTTCCAACGGTCCGAGAATTGCCTAAATCCGACTTATGGTTTGAAAGTTATGGCTTGAACAAATTTGTTAATAAAAATAACAATTTAGTCCCTGAACAACTCGGATCGACTGGCACATGCGCAACTCACAGGATGCACAAATTTTCGACCATAATTTCACCTAGAAAAGCCCAAACTTTTCTAAAACCTTTTAAAGGCTTCTGGGGTGCTCTAAGTTGGTTCTTGGACGCGTTTTGACATGTAAAACCCAAAGAATTTCATGAGATACCTAGAACCCAAGCCTATATAAACCCCATTTATTCCCCTAAGAAAATAGAACCAAAATTCATCTAAAAATCATTAGAAAATCCCAAATCCTCTAGAAAATTAGGAAAAACCCCGAGAAAATTCCTAGAAAAATCCCTTAGGCTCTAGAAACCCTAAGTCTATGAAAAACCCTAGGCTAGAGATCCTAAACTAAGATTATTTCAAATTTTTCTTATAAATCCCCAAAAATCAAAATTCTACGAACAAGACCTCTTAGATCCAAAACCTTCATAAAGGCATTCTTCAAGAAAGCAAGAGGAGGCACCAAAAGTGTAAATCAAACCAAGTCCTCATACGAGCCACAATTCCAAGTTTCTCAGGTATGTGATCTTTCCTTCCCCTCTACTTATTATTATTTGTTTCTTTATTTTATGTTCATGTCTTGATTTCTTAGTTTAATTTAGAATTCATAACTTTTAAAAGATCTAGTAGGTGTGAGATTTACAACTGGCACTTCCAATACATCCAAATAAAGGTCAGATTTGATAAATTTGTACCGGATTTGGATCTATAATTTGAACGGTCCCACATTCTCTATCGATTTATCAAATTTTAACTAGTCTTGCATGAATTTGAGTTGATCTCAAAGATTCGAGCAGAAATAGCTTGTTGCCCACCTAGGGCTCTGGAGCTGTAAATTCACATCACTAAATCATTAAAAGCTTCCTATTTGTCTTTAATTCTTATTTTCAGACGAGATAGAAAAAAATACAAGGGATGCAAGTTGACTAGAAAAACTCCCCAAAAATTTATCTAGGGGTCTCTAGATTAGTGCCATCATGTTGCTTGAAGGTGGCTTAGATGTCGACTCGGATCGAGTCGCGCCTAGTCCACGTGAGTGAGTCTAATAGTGCCTACACAACATTACGACTCGAGCAAAGCATAGACTGTGAGAAACAATTTTTAGCAGTTGTTTCTTATCCTAATTTTCCCCCTTATTTCTTGTCTTTTTCTGTTCCCTGTTTTCTATTCATATTTCCAGAAGATTACAAAATTCAATAAGAAAAAAAAAAGATAACTAGCTAGATCAATTCTTTATCTTTGCCTTATTCTTATACGTGCAGCTCATATTAGTCTTTATTTGCATTATTGCCTGCCTTATCACCTATCTTTTGTGCACATTACTTCTATACTTGTTTCCGCATCTCAATCACACACTTTGCATGAACAAAAAGATTTTCAAAGGTTTTCCCCTATACCAACATCGATGTCATGTGGGAACCCAGTTTTGTGGCAGGATGATTGGGGATACGCCAACACT